TACCCAGAAAAGGATATTTGATTTCTAGCACTAAAATGCTGAGCTCTACCTCCTAAGAAGTAGACTCCTCCACCCTGCCATGTTCTTGTAAGTGAAATTCACTTGCTCCCGGAGCCTGGGACACTTTACTATAAATTCCTTTAAGGAAATACTTGGTTACCAGGGTTACACGTTCTCATCTCAGCCTGTCAGCGCAGATCCCCCACATCTCAGATTCCCTTGGCTAACGCTGGGACCTTGAGCTCCCCCTGCAACCCCAGCCTGTTGGAAATCTCAGTTCCAAAGTTAGAGGATGGGTGGGGAAGGATTAATCCCTCTTTAACTCCTCTCCTTCCCGCCCTCAATTCTGAACCCCAACTGATATGTTTCCTAGTGAATAGGAGCATAGGAGCCGCCCTGTCCAATAAAGATTAAATTAAGTAGAAGAATCCCAGCCGCTGGATATTTGGAAGCTCCGGTGGGGCGGCAAACTGACGTTTAGCACATTTTTTCCACTCACTGTGCACAAATCTTGGACCTGTTGGGCTTAATTTAGAAAGGAAGGAAGGAAAGGAGAGAGAGAGAGAGAGAGAGAGAGAGAGAGAGAGAGGGAGAGAGAAAGAGAGAGGTACTGCGTGTCTTGGGTGGGGGAATTATAGCTTCTTGCTTCTAGCTGAAGGCAGAAGCAGGACTTCCGGTCCTTTCCAGTTCACTCACAACCTCTACCCTGAGAACTGGACGCTTCTTCTTCCAGCCAGGGCTCAGAAGTGCTTTGGTGGGTGTCATTTGTGCTTGTCCCTTAGGAATAGTAGGGTGGCCTCGGGTTCTGAGTGGGTGTGAGGGCGAGAGAGCTTTCAGAACCCAGTTGCTTCCTTTGTGGTGATTTCTTTCCTTTTAAATAAAAGTTCTGGTAGCATAAACTGAGCAGTTTCTTCTGATTTTTGCCTAGCAGAAAAAACAATGTTTTTTTTTTTTTCCGTTGGTGTTCACTACACTGGACACTGACTTTGAAGCTGAGGAATGATAGAGTGCCCCCTCGCCCTGAAGCCATGCTGGCCCCCAAATCTCAGCTATTCACTCCCACCCTCTCCTCTAGTCCCTGGGCACAGTCCGGAGAGGCAAAAGGCAAGTCCCTTCGTGGAGAAGGCTTGTCCAAGCAAATACAAGACTGAATAAATTAACCTCAAACCAGCTAGTTGGGGTGTAGTAGTTTAGCAGGACTAATTGCAGACGATGTAGCTGAAATGACTTTTCCAATTAGCTGCTGGTTGGAGTTTAGTTGGAGGAACTGTCAGCTCCAACGATGGGTAATTGCTTTATTGCTCACAAAACTATCATCTATTTAGAACATATGTGCTAATTACTCTGGATGGGCGTTGAAAAAGAGACTATAAATCTAATAGCACTTAAAAAACTCTATGGTGCTTGTAAGCAACCCCAGTCCCTTGCGCGTTCTCTCCTGGCCAGGTCCGCGTGATAGATGGCTGTCTGTCAGGAAGGCCAAGGTTGGGCAGTGGAGGCGCCCTGGGGAGGGTCTGGTCCGGTCCAGTGCTGAGAGCCAGCGCCTGGTGCCCCTCCCTGGGGATAAATCACTGTCATCCCAATCAGCCCTCTCTTTAGCCGTGCACTTGTTTTTTTTCCTCATCTTCGAAAAAGATTACTTTAGAAATCTTTTAATTGGATTATACTGGGAAATTAATCTCCTTTAGCCTTGGCTAAATTTATTGTGGCCAATGTCGGGAGCAAAGTCCTGCCACTGCAGCGAGGGCCCTGTCCCCCTTCTTTCTTCCTTTCTTTGGGGGCTCCAGGGTCTCCCAACTACGAGTGACAGCAGCGAGGAAGGGTGGAAAGCCACATGTGGCTGATGGCCACGGAGGTCCCGAGTGTACCTCCTTTGTCCTAAGCTTCAGATTCTCCAGCTCCACCCCACAGCACCGCGCCTTTATCCCTCAGAAGTTCTGGGTTCCGGGACCTTGCTGCTAAGGAGGTTTTGGTGTCAGGAAGAGGAGGTCGAGTGTGTCCCAGGAGAGCCACACTCGTTAGCTGGCCCTTTCCTCCCCGCACCTTCTACATCTGGCCTCCTGCTAGGAGCGAGGCCTCGAGGACAGCCAAGTCTCTGCGCAAAGACGCACAGCTCGCTCTTGGCGTCCTCTCTGGCGCAACTGTGGGGACACTTCCTGTGGGGACACTTCCAGCGCACTAAACTGGAGGTCGGGGCTGGGACAGGGCCCTGCCACTCTTCCTGACGCCTGGAGCACCAGCGCAGCGTCAGGCGGCGACCTCTCTCCCAGCCCCACTGCCCGGTGCCTGCAGCCTGGTTCCACGCGTTTCCAGCAGTCTCGGGAAGCCGAGGGTCGGGGCCTGCTGGCCTCGCTTCGCAGCGGGAGATAGCAACATCTGCTTGAAACGGGATACCTACTTTTGCAGCTCAATTTAGCTCTTAATAGCAGTCCTCTGAGGTGTGGTTAATTGATGGGGATAAAGGCCTAATGACTTGACGGGGAGACGCCAATGATCCCTTAATATAGTTTTAAAAGAACAACAACCACCCCAAACACGGGCGAGTCCTCGCTCGGTGGGAGGTGTAGGTAAGGGAAAGGCAGGGATCCAGAGGTTGGGCAAACAGCGCTGGCGCTGTAGATCGCCGCAGGGGTCAGAGCGGGTAAGCCCAGCTCCCACAGCCTGGGCAACTGGAGCCACTGGAGCGCGCAGGGCGGGCTGACAGGGGCTTTTCGAGTGGCTGCAGGAAGGGACCTGGAGCCCGGTGAGCTAGGACCGAAATGTGACCTGGCCGACTGGCAGAGAGGAGTCCCGAGCTGAAGAAGATGCTGCCTGTCCCCGGGCTCTGCCATTCTACCCGTCCTCGCCTGCGCGGGGCTGGACAGACACAAGCGCGGGCCACACGCCCACCTCCCGGACCAGAGAGAATCGTCGTCTGAGTGAGAGAAATGGCCAAGGGGCTGCGCTCTGTCTGAACAACCGCGGTGGGGCCCGAGCGCCGGGACCAGCATCACGCGTCGGTGTGAGAGCGCGGCGTGTGTGCTCGCGCGCAAACCGTCTGCGGACGCGCAGCTGGACCACAGCAGTCCTGAGCACGTGGCCGCCTTTAGGCAGGGTCTGCCCGGAGCCCTGGGACCTGGCGAACTGGGATTTACCTGCGCTGGGGTCAGCGCACCCCTGCGCAGCGTCCTCCTGGACCTCTGCTCCCGCTCTCTCCTTTGCGCCTTTCCTGTCTGGCCTGGTTTCCCTTTGCTCAGTTCTAATTGAGTCTCGAGAGGGTCAAAGGAGTGTTTTATTGAGCTTAAATACAGAACTTAAAACAATCACAGGAAGGCAAAGCTGGTCGCCTTTCTAGTGGGCGAGGGGAATCCCTGCAGGATATAGGCAGTGGTGTCCTTGCAGCTGTTTTACACTTTGGAGAAGGGTCATCTTAGTGCTTCAGGCTTTGGCTCCCTCTGGAAGCAGAAGGAAAAATGGCTCCAATTACCTCCCATATTTCATTGCGTTGAGAGATCGCAGGTGGTACGGCTGCAGCTATTGTCTACCTTCCTCCTGGAGCCCATGTCGCAGGGAAGGAAGCTCCCAGGAAACTGAATTTCCCTAAACCCTCTTGCAGAGGAGCGGATGTCGCTAGGTGGGCGAGCTTCGAGGTCAAGGGTTTGAAGACATGCGATTAAGAGTGCCATCGCCAAGAGTGCACTGGTCTCGTGCGGTGCCCTCCTCTTTCTGCTCTCTAACCCCTTGTGCTTCTGCCCTGGGTGGGTCTGTAGCAAGTCAAGACCCACTGTTGAGCGACAGAGCGCCTGACTCCCTCGAAGTCCCAGGCCAGCAGTGTTCCAGGGGCATTGCACGGTCCTCGGGCCCCTCAGAGCCAGGGAGAAGGCCTCAAGTCCACATTCGTGCCCTGGTTCACTGGGGTGGAGTCGGCGGCCTGAAGGCACGTTCCCACTGACCACGGTGTCAGAGGTTTCCCTGAAAGGCCGAATGCCTTGGTTCGCCAAGGTCCCCAGGGCTCCACCCGCGCCCTCCACGCACAAGGGCCCTGGCGTTGCTGGCCCCCGAGGCTGCGTCGGTCCTAGTTCAGGCCTGTCCCACCACTCTATAGGGTCCCCTTTGCATCCCTCAGTCCACAGAAGCGCTCCCCTGCCAAGGAAGTCTTCAACTTGAGAACCAAGGTCCCTGGCGGGGGCCCTTCCGCCTTTTCCCCAGGAGAGTGTGAACTGCGACCCCGAGCGCGGCCCCGCGCGCAGCCCCTGTGGGCGAGGCCCTCGTCCAGGCACACAGCCTTGCGCGCAGAGGTGGTGGCTTGGCGCTCGACCCAGGGGCATCGCCTGGCCTGCAGAGGGACCTGGGGGCAGGGGACGTGGCCGGACAGCAGGAGCTGCAGGGCACCGCTCAGCGAGCGCCGGGGTGACAAAGCGGAGCCTGCGCAGGGGACTCAGGAAGGAAACCAGGCCCGGCCGGGGGGTGGCGCACGCTTCCCGAACCCCGGGCCGGAGCCCCCGTCGGCGCTGGCACTGTGAATGCCTGGGTCAGCACCGCAAGCCTCTCAGGAAGGGGCCGGGCGGAGTGTGACCCACAGTCCAGCGAAGCCGCTGGCGCGACTCCTCCCCATCGCACCCCTGGGCCTCACAGCTGGGCGCTGGGGCGCTGGGGCGCTGGGACGGTTTGCTGTGTCTTGGGCAGCCAGTCTTTTTCAGGTATTGGGCTGCAAGGCGTAGGAAGGAAGGCCTAGGGCTCAGCGAGAGGATCTTGAACCTAATTTTCTGTTTTTACTGTTTAAGAAGCTGGGAAAGCCAGTGAGAGTTAACGTGGGGCCGTCGGGTTTTTAATTTTTTTTTTTTTTAAATTTTAGATATCCATTTACAAGCACAGGAAAGCTGTGGTGTCGTCCATTAAAAAAAAAAAAATCTTGGGAGACCGTATCTCAGGAATTTTCCCAGAGATTGATTTATAACCTCTCAAGTTAGGGGGTTGGTATGTACAGCACCACCAACACACTGAATAGTGTCTTCCTTCAGACAGGGATGGAGGAGCGGAAATACCGTCACCTCTCGGTACTGATTGCCGGGAATTGGTGCTCCAGATGTTGCACTGGAAGCGCTGCGAGTGTGAGCAGGTAATGCGGAGAAGAGCGACATTGTTAACAGAAAGCGTCTAATTAACAATGACTTCATTTGATTGGAAGGATGAAGAAGGCTTTTTAAATCAGTCCAGATTCACTGGCCTAAGCTCAGCCAATTTATGACTATGGAGCCCGACTCGGGTCTGCTTTCTTTCAAACATGTCATCCTAGAGGTAATAGCATAGGTGAAGTCATTTGGTTACACCGTGGAAACTTTTATAGGGCCTTCCTTGGGAATTTAATTCAGTGCTTCTTCATTTTATTAGGAACAGACTGACTCCATCAACTGGGCTCTCCCTTTTCAGAGGCAGGACTGCTTGAAGCAATTAGGTTCACCAATTAACATAGTTTTACTGACCCCAGCAGCAGCTCCGATCCTTAGATTATCCATTCTTCAAAGTCAGGGAGAAGCCGACGCAACGTGCTTCCCAGGAATCCAGGTCGGTGGAATAAACAGCACACAGGACAAAGGTACACAGAGCTTGGTTTCCAGCACTTTCCTCTCTTCTGCTGGTGGGTTCTATAATACCACCTTACATGGCATAAACCTCTCTCCTTTGGTTGTATTTTGGCAGAACTGCTTTTAAGGAAGTAAATTTGCTTGCTTCTCATCTGTCCTGTGCGCTAATGATCCTATGGAAAATGTTAGGGCTCAGAGCAAAGTTGCTGATGGTCTCTCAGAAACCCCATTAGGTGACAGGGGAAGGGATCAAGCCTGCCCAGAGAAGAAACCAGAGGGCCTGCATAGGGAAATACATCATTTTTCTCAGTTTTGAAGGTGCACCTGCAAATTTATGCTACAGTACTTCAGTGTAAGCGCAATCAGCAGTGACTGACATCTTTAGTAAAACAGAGTGTCAACCAATGAGTTGGAGTGTGCCTGTAATGCAAGAGCTCTCATGAGGCAAGTGGATCCCAAGTTCAAGTCCAGCTTGGGTTTGAAACCTAGTGACTTAGCAAGAACCTGTTCAAAAATCAAGCAAACAAGGAAAAAAAAACCTCACAAAGTCTGGATCCCAAAGCAGTCTAGGAAAGAGGTTTTGCTCTTGCCATTGTCTTGTATAGTGAAAGGATTAAATTTACATGGCTATTGTCCTTCCCGCCTCATATATATATATATATATATTACTCTGTAAGATTTCACTAAATTAAATTGCTGACAGTTCATCAGTAGCAGCAACAATGTAATTCCCCTAACCTTATTAAATCAATAAATACTAGATTCATGCATTGAATTAAAAATGCATCAGCATGGCCAGGAATTGTGATCACATGGCTGTAGACCCTGGAATCGAAGATGCCACTCAGAAATTGGCTGGTTAGCATTTATTTTAATCTCTTGTTCTATTTCAGATCTGTGATTAGATATTCTGGGGTTTTCACATTTCAGGGACCAAAGTGACTTTTTTTTTTTTTTTTGGTTTATGTAGTTCTTGGAAATCATTTTTATTAATTCACTTTTAATGCTAGAAGTGAGGTGTGCATTCAACAAAAGTAATATATCTCAACTTTATAATTCTTGTCATTAACTTTCATTTAGGTAATAGTCTTCTCCTTAGAATACCTTCCTCTAGTAAGACATAGTCAGGTGCATACATTTCCACATAAGCATAAATAAATTTATATGTATATGCTTTGTATAAGTATAAATAAATAAATATACTTAATGTGAATACTGTATGTTATTTTACATTGGTTATAAGTTCATTTAAAAGACATTTAATTTATCTTTTTTCACTCTCAACTATGTCATAAACCAAAGAACTACTTATCTTTTGAAAACAAGCTTTTATAAACTGATCTTCTGGTTGGGATTTATAGAACAAGAGATGAAATTAAAAAATTCAAGTCTTTAAACATAATATATAGGACATTACATATACCTCAAATGTTACATTGTGTGTGTGTATGTGTGTGTGTGTGTGTGTGTGTGTGTGTGTGTGTGTGTAGTTTGCCAGGAGTTGCTTAGTTAAGTTGCATATTAATAGGTAAGCTTAGAGCTAGTCCCCACTGAAAAAAGGGAACATGTGTAATATCTGAAAGTTGGACACAAAAAACATTACTCTAGCCAGATATTTGATGAATTAATGATGCTAATTTATTTTAAAAATTCATTTCTTATTGATGCCAGCATATATTGTACTGAATTCTCAAGATATAGTCATTGGCCCTTGGGTTCACCACACTGTGGAAGAAAAATCTTTATTTGACAACATAGGCAATCAACTGAAATCTATCCACTTTAAATAAACTGATTCCTCAGTATTTTCCCAGTGTTGGTGTAAGTTGTTGTCTGTGATGCTCCCCAGGGCTCTTCCCTCTGCGCTCCGATTTGGTATATAAAAGCAGCTCTGAATGATGGATTACTGTGTCATTGCAGCCAGGGAAGGATTAATTTGTTTCATTGATTTCTCTTTAGGCAGATTGCCAGAATTTGCTGCTTCCCACCTTCTTCAAGACTTCTAGAAGTAATAGACAGTAATGGCCTAAGACAAATCAGCTCCTTCTTGTAAAAACAGAATCAGGAAACCCAGAGTCCTAGGAAAGCTGTGGCAAACTTTTTATTTGCATACCAGAGAGAGCAATTAATGAGCTACTTTTCTTCTTTAGAAATATTTTTAATTGAAATACTTCTGAAATTGGCGGTATTTAAAACAGCATGCTAGTAGATTAGAAGTAAGCATTTATAATGTTCATCTCATAAAAACATTTCCTAATTTGCAAGGATCTTGTTTAACAAGGGGAAAAATGTGTAATCTATGTGACTGACAAATCCTTTCCTTTTTATGCCAAATTTTGGAGTCAAATGATATGCCCACACAATTCTAGGTCAATTTATCTAGAAGTATTTATAGGAGTATTGAATCAAAGAATTTTTAGAAACTTTGGACAGTGACTAGGAGTATCTAAACATAGAAATTTAACTGTTTAAAAATAAATAGCTTCTGATTTAAAAAGTAGTATCTCCTCATAAGAGAATTTTTAAAAATTACAAATGATATTTTGTCTATTTTTAAACTTTTTTCTAAGAATTTAATGTAATATAAGAACTACCTTATATTACATTATATATATATATATATATATATATATATATATATATATTATACACACAATTTTTTTCCCCCTGGTGTTACGTATTGAACCCAGGGCCTTGTACCTGTGAGGCAAGCATTAGACATAGAACTATACTGTCAAACCCTACATGTATTCAATGTATATACTTTTGTGAATCATCGCTCTACTTTGCAAAATACATTTCTAAGTTTTTATTAACGTCCAATTGAGATGAATAGCCTTTTAAATAAATCTTTTACAGTTTTTAATTTATTAACTTTGATATATTTTAGAAATTATTTGGGCAGAAAGTAAAGACTATTTTTGAAGATTCTTTATATTGCTTGCTCAATTATTTTCCAGAAAGTTTTTACCAATACATACTGGTACATAAAAAAAATTTCTCTGTAGAGGCAGCTTTCTAATTTATGTTACTAGAGCAAAGAAAACTGAACAACACCCTTTTCCTTGTATTTTGCAAGCAACAGTAGCATTTTGCATATACTTAGTCTCTCAGAAATATTTTCCCAAACTGCAGATGTGAAATAGGCTGGTTATACAAATCTATTTGTTTCCCTTCTGTAGTGCTGAAAATTATATTGATTTAATGATCTCAAGTTATACTTTTTATGCAATTAGTTGTGTAGTAAAAACTAATATTGTCATGTGCTAATGTCTTTTTTCTCTCTATTGTGCTATGGTAGTCGTCCATGCAATATCAGCAAGTTTATGCTTTTCCCGTGCTTTGCTGAAAGGAAAAAGGAACATCTGTTTCCATTATATATCTGCATCATAATGATAACAATTAAATAGCTATTATGGTAGTATACAGTAAATATATTTTGCTGAATGACCTATACTTTCTTGTTGGAAAATTTCAGAGATATCAGAAGCCCTTCATTTTTGCAGGTAGATTCATTATACAGGTTTAGAAAGGCCTTTGCTTACTTTAGTAAATTATTGCAGTTCTTATTTGTCTCAGTAAAAACAAACAATGTGATTAAACACTAACTTTCAGATGTGACTCTTGACTATATTTCTCTTAGGTCTATGTCTAGAGCACAAATTATTTGGTATCTTCCTCAATATTCTTAAGTGGGTTTATCATGCTATTAAGCACACAGTTTATTTTGTGTTTCATGGAATTTGTGTAGTTTTTATATTTTACTGAATTGGAAGATTGGAAACAGTTAAAGTATATTTCATTTTTTCCCTTGGATGAGAGGGACATAGTGATATTTATTTTTTTTTGAAATGTGGTGCTGAAGATCAAACCTAGGTTCTTGCACATGCTGAGCACACACTTTACTACTGAACTACTTCTGCAGCCCCAATATTTACCTTTTAAGCTTAGAAGGAGAAGGTTTGCGACCACACACAACTTTTTTTCATTGACCTTTAAAATTCCAGGGAAATAGTTTAATTTATTTTACCTTTTGGTTAAAGATGTTTTGGTGGTTTGTTAGAAAACCAATTAGAGTTTTTATATATTACAAAATCATTATAGATATTACAAAAATATCCATGTATCCCAAACCCAGCTTGAGAAATAAAGTGTAATCAATAAAACTGATACCTGATGGCTAATTGAAGAGATAACCATCATCTTAAATTTGATGCTTATCATACTTTTTGCCTTTTAGGTACTTTATAAAAACGGGGCCTAAAAACTTGACCTAAATGACTTGTCTTTTAAAAGAAGTGAATTTTTAAATGTCAGAGCCATGCATGCTATCAGAATCCTTTTAGTCGAATCATCTGTACCTGGGCATGATTCTCTGCTTTACTCTGTTGTCTGGTGAGGTTCCTTTCTGATTTCTTTCTGGCCATAATGAAAATTTTTACTACCTCCTGGTTTTCTAAAAATGAAAACAAACTAAAGGCAAAGGTCCACAGAGGTTATGTAACTTCACCAAGACCATATAGTAAGTCACAGA